TCAATGAAAATGTTGAGACAGTGTGCGACTGCAATAAAAAAGGCCAACACTATACTCAGGATTATTAGGAAGGGAATTGAAAACAAATCAGCCAGTATCATAATGCCCCTATATAAATCAATGGTGCGACCTCATTTGGAGTACTGTGTACAGTTCTGGTCACCACACCTCAAAAAGGATATTATAGCATTGGAAAAAGTGCAGAAAAGGGCAACTAGAATGATAAAAGGGTTGGAACACTTTCCCTATGAAGAAAGGTTAGAACACTTGGGGCACTTTAGCTTGGAGAAACGATGGCTGAGGGGTGACATGATCGAGGTTTATAAGATTATGCATGCGACAGAGCACATAGAGAAAGAAGTACTTTTCTCTCTCACAATACAATAACTCGTGGGCACTCAATGAAATTGCTGAGCAGTTGGGTTAGAACAGATAAAAGGAAGTACTTCTTCACCCAAAGAGTGATTAACACATGGAATTCACTGCCACAGGAGGTGGTGGAGGCTACAAGCATGGACAGCTTCAAGAGGGAATTAGATAAACATATGGAGCAGAGGTTCTTCAATGGCTATTAGCCGCAAGGTATATATAAAAAATCTCAGTCTGGGGCAAGTGATGCATTGTATTCTTGGTGCTGGGTGGGCAACAGTGGGAGGGCTTCTAGTGTCCTGGCCCCACTGATGGACCTCCTGATGGTATCTAGTATTTTTGGCCACTGTATGACAGAGTGTTGGACTGGATGTGCCATTGGCCTGATCCAGCATTGACTTCTCTTATGTTCTTACCCAATCCCTCCCCAACAACAGATGTAGTCTTCCCACACTTTTTAAAAGAAAACCCATAATACTACCCACTCAGCATTAAATCATTATACAAAGCATTATAGAAAAGCTCAATGAATAAATAAATACATGTTGCCATTATAGAAGGGATAATGTATATAATATTTTATAATGGAAAAATGTATTTGGTGAGCTTTGGATTCTTATGCAATAATAGCAGAGCACTCTCCCAAGTCTATAAATATTCAATTTCTAGCAGGAGTTGTTTCTGTAGATTGTATTGCCTTTAGAGATGTTGTACTACCATTCAAAGTTGCCTAGTTTGACAGGAACAACAGCCTCTAGCACATTAGCATGCCTGCAGTAAGAAGTGCAATTCCAGAATAAATTAACAATCGCTTGTGGAATGTTAAAAGAATCCGAAAGAGTAAAGATAGCTATATTTCCAGCAATTTCCAATCATCATATCTGATCAATTTAGGCAAGTTTCAATGGATTTACACACACATGTTATAGATTACAGCCAATACATGTACTGTATCTTACAGCACTATTAACAGTAAGAAATCCATCAGCATGCTCATTTACCTAGTAGAACTTATGTCCAATGTGTATACAGTATACGCAAGATAAAGCTGAATTAACAGAAAGGGCAGCTCACTGCTGTCAGAATTATATATGACTCTATGAATGTTATAAGTGGTAAAATTTCCTGAAGAATGACAGATTACCATCCACATTTCAATTTAGTGCCTAGGCCTGTCTCAATTGTAACTTATAAAAGTCAAATATATTGATCCCTAGAAAATAACACCACAAAAATATTTGCAGCTAAAACTAGGGGAGTGCAAAAAACAAATTCAATGCAAATAATCGGTGACTACCTTTTTGGAAAATTCAGACGCTTTTTGCTCACTTTCCTCTACTTTTGCTTTGTCCACACAGATATCTGTAAGGATTAAGAACAAATTTGAAATCCACATTAAAAGGCAAATATCTAATAAATACGTTATTCAAAGTTATACAAAGCAAACGCTCCTCCTGAGCCAAAGCAAATATTTCAAAATGTTCCCTATTTTAAGATTCAACCAAGCTTCTACAATAATCATTTTGAATTCCAGCTAGATTCTTTCTGGGTTAGAAGCATTTCTTCTAACTCAAGGAGGAAGTCTTCTTCCCCCACTATGTATAACTCAAATTTTGATCAACAATTAAAGCCAGTTATTTGCTAGTGAATCCTGATGATCTTAGCAGAGATTTTAATATTTTATTTATTCAGATATTTATACCCCACTTTTCTCCCTAATTAAAATAAAAAGCAGTTTATAACATCATTGTCCTGTCCTCCTTTTTATCCTCTTAACAACAAACCTCTGAGGTAGGTTAGGCTCAGAATGACTAGTCCAAGGTCACCCAGTGATTATATGGGATGAGGGAATTCAAGTCTGGGTCTCCCAGATCCTAATCCAACCCTCTAACCACTACACCACACTGGCTCTGAGCTACAGCTGGGTACAAAATAACTATACAGCTTTGTTGTTTTCTCCCTAGTCAAGCCTACTTCAATAGTCCACTGATTTCAATACGAGAGTTATATGCTTCACTATTCTCCCATGAAGTCAGTGGAATTTAGAATTACTTAATTTTGACAGGATTGCAAACAGTTAATTGGTGAGAAACATCTAATTCACAGCTGTGTAGTACTAAATTGTACATACCAACAAGATGAGTGAAGTCCACATCCAACCTTCCTCTGCACTTGAAATCGGGATCCATTCCACTACAGTGCAACACAATCTGAGAAACACATTCTTCTACTATCTTGTAATACTGTGGGCTGGTGGCAAACACACACACAAAATCCCTAGTTATTTCATTTTAAAAAATAAGGAGCTACATATAAGGTGAAATATTTTAATCTACTTAATAAGGGACATTTGGATTGGTGGTTTCTTAACACTTGGCACACAGTGAATCCCCCCATCCTTCTCTTTGAATGCATGTGTTCCAGCCACCTACTCATGGGAATAAGAAGTCTATGCATGCTTTCCAGAGCTTCACTCAACCTGCTCTTTTTATGCAATACACATTATTCGCACACCAGAATATGAATAACTCACAAAATGCAGAAAGGGTTAGCTGGATATCCTTAGAGGGGCAAGCACAGACCTCATGTTCAACATAATTCCGGGGGGTAGGAAACAGATTTCTACTACTGAGGCTCTATTAATCCAGTAGACCATGACCTAAGGCTATAAATCAAATGTAAAACCTACAATTAAGTAGTTTTTCAGTTCACAAATTATCCTTTACATCTTTGATCAAATTAGCAGCTTTCCCAACGATACTTCCTAGACTGAAATATTCATTTATTTAGAAAATTTATATGCCACTTCTAGAACATTTTTAAAAGATCAAACCCTTAATTTTAAAAACTGTGCCAAAACCTGGAGCTGGTAAATCTATGAGAAGATATGCTAAACACTAGAATTATATTGAGCGCTGCATTGCTATATTATTCCTTGGTGCGGGGAGATGCATTTCAAAAAATGTTAATATTTTACACTAAAAGACTTGAAAATTCAGAAGCAGCACACAATATTCACTGACCACTACCCCTTCAGAAACAGCTACAAATCTTTTACTTGACATGTTAACATTCCATGTACAGAAGTATTAATGATCAAGATATCTTCAAGCAACTGCAAACATATTCTGTTTGCCTTTGAACGCATAACTGACTTACCGGACATAATAATCATTCCTGATCAGTAGAAAGTGTTGCAAAATGGATAAGAAATAATTTTCAGATGCTGTGTCTTTCAACATGTTATATAATAGGTGGTAGACCTCATTCACATCAGTTCAAGGATTGTCAAGGAAATGACAAAAAATATCAACAAGTGTTCACAGGAATAGATTTCTCTGCTTTTGAAGGTCAGAATCCAAATGTATTCAACTCGTACAAGGCCACTTTAGACTTAAATATCAGAATGCCACATTGAATCCACTTTATATCGAGCTTTTGGATTCCAAGTTAATTCAATGAAAACAAGCATGGGACCTAATAGGTCTCACAACAGCGAGGAAATCATCCCCCACACTTCCTCACCTCTTGTTGTTCCCCTGACAAATGCCCTAACTCTCCCTATCTCCAACCCTCCTTCTGAGCAGTTTCCTGCTCACAAGTTTTCCTCTCCCCTCACCCAATGCTGTCCATCATATTTTCAGAGCTTTTCAACATAACTATCAGCACGTGCACCAATGTCACCATTTCTCCGGGGGGGGGGGGGAATATGTTAACTCCATATGCTTTATAAAAAAACCTGTCTTTTTTGTAAATCTGGGAGCTCCCTTGGATTTACAGAAAAGTCTTTACCCATAGGAGATCCCATTGAGCTTTTTTTTTCCCCATCTGCAAGGTGAAGCAAAGTTCAGAACTGGGCATGTGACAAGTAGAAGCCTCACATGATTTGCAGGAGGGTGCCATCCTCCCTCCCCCGCTCACTCTACCAGCCCTGCTCACTCTGTTGGCCAGCAGTGCTACCATATCTGCATTCTGGCTCATGTGACAATATCTATGGCAGCAGTACAGGGAGCAGCACATTCACATGGGATCAGGCTTAGAATTGAATATACAATATTACTATTTATTATGAATATTTTTTTCTGAAGAAGTGTGCATGCATGTGAAAGCTTATACCTTGAATAAAACTGTTAGTCTTAAAGGTGCCACTGGACTCAAACTTTGTTCTGTTGAATACGTGCAGTATAAACAAAAAAAATTTGAGAATAAACAAAATTAGCAATATCTCTTTCTCCAAGACAGCTGGAAAGTCCTCTTTGAAATCAAGGTTACACTGACACACACACCAATCTCTTCCTGTGTTGTCACATATTTACTGGGTTCTCCCAGAGGTCAATTTCTTTGTATAACAATATGAGTGTCATGACATATTTCAAAGGATTAAAAAACAAAGCATAAAAATGTGAACATAAGCAACACAAGAATTATATGGTGGAAAGATTCCATATCTATTGACAGCAATTATTTTAAATGACAAGGAAAATTTGCCAGTTGTGGTTTCTACTGTAACTGAAGCATTGTGACCTGGCAAACCGACGTACGCAAGGAGGAGATGATGGAAGAGTGTGGCTGAACATCACATACTTATTTGACCTACTCAAGCCTTTTAAGCCTCCCTACACTTTACCATCTTTAAAAAAATAAGCACCTTAAAACAGAAACACCCACCTATAAACTTAAGCTTCTAACTTAACAGTGACCATCTGTTTCTAATGTACTTAGCGGTTGACCATCATGAAAGAAAGGCTGTATACTGAAAATTATCTTATATAATTTTGTTGTATACTGTATATCAAGAAAAAATGTATACCATTTTAAAAACAATCCAAATTGGTCTCTATCAAGTCTTAATATCAGTGTCAAAGAACACCAAATTAGCTGTTTATTCTCAGATAGTCATGCATACCTCAAACAATGAGATTGTAATACTTTTGTTTTCTAAATCTTTCAAGTATTCTTGAAAAGTTCTTATTTTCCTTGCAATTTTAACTCACCTCACCTAACTTCTCTCACCTTCCATAAACTTTCTAATCAGCACATCTTGATCTCAAAACTATCCAATTTACTGCTAATGTCAGTATTTCCTGGAGATTGTCATTGTTAAAAAGGATATTCCATTTCAACTTTGATATCATTGAGCCGATGGGCCAATTCAATTAAGTCTTCTTCTTTGTTTTCATCAAACACTTTCAACTGAATATCAAGCTCTTCATTCTCCTTTTCTTTTAGATCCTGGTGTTTCAGGAAATAAATTTTAAGGGAGATAAATATTTCAGATCATGTAGTAAAACGACTTCTATATGTTCTATGCATTGAGTATAAACTAGCATTAAAAACTTATGCCAAATTTCAAATAGAGTTATTACCACAACTGTATAGTGTTTCCATCCACTACAGGCATATGATTGAGATACATTAATTTACAATAAGATACCTACCAGCTATGCGATTTCTGGAATTTATACGTAACACCATATAGCCAAAGTCATAGTGTGACAAGAAAAACCCAGAGTATCTATAGAGTGTGACAAGAAAAACTCAGAGTAGCTATAGAGTGTTTCTAAACTAAATAAAAGAATTTGATCTAATAAAACAATTGAGAAAACATCTAACGGATACATGCAGTTACAACAGAATTTTTTGGTCATATGTGTTCATAACATTGACTACATTTTAATAGTGATATATTCACATTGATATATTCAAGCACAACAGTCCCAAGTATGGCGTACTGAAAATCCTATTTAAACTGCTGCTCTACTCTGCTCTCACAGTCACAAATGTATATTCCAATGTATGCCATTTAAAGAATTAGGAATTTTGCTCATGCATATTCCACAGAAAATCATGCACTAAAACACTGTGTTAAAGTGTTATCTTCAGTTGCAGAGCAGTCACATACTGCATCTTTATTTTTATGCTGTAGCACCTTGCTACATCAACACACCCCAACATTGACCTTGTCCCACTTTTTCCTCTTTAAAATGAGATTACACTAGTTCACAACACAGATCTTCTGACTAACAGATCAAATTTAGAATGGTGTTGATGGTATTTAACATTCTGAAGTGGCTTGGCTATAAAGAATGCATTTCTCAAACCATCACACGGTAAATATTTGTTCTGGGTGTATCCCATTATTGGAAATGTGGATCACTTCCAGTGGAAAGCCTGGCAATCTGAAGGCACACATATAAGACTGTACCCCTTTGTGCTGCATTAATTCACAATAACTGGCTTCCCACTATTTTCCCACTATGCACTGGCAAATAAAAAAGCAGAAAACTTATCTATATTTGTCCTTTTGTTTAACAACCTGGTTGAGTATATGAAATAATGGTTAAAAAATGAATTAAGCTTTAAGTGATTTTGACTATGTGGTACAGATATATTGCCTCCTCTTAAAGGCCAACATATAAGTTTTTGACTGTTAAGAATTTTTACTGGCAACTGATTTTAACCAGCTTTTGTATCTGATTATGGAACATCTCCGGCAGTTTACAATGTATGCATTGTTTAAGCATACACTTTGTGAACTTTTAAGTTTCTTATTCGTATAGAACTGTTACATTTACATAAAACTGTTTTGCCCTAAGTGTGACTATAGCGATGATTATCTGTAACACATAAAAAGCACATGCATCAACGCTGGTTTTGTAAAAAAAAATATATATATATTCCAAATTTTTATAGCATGCCACACTAGAGATTGTTGGGATTAATATATCACCTTGAAGTTCTTTTACTATGTTCCCTTTTATTTCGTAGGTTTCAAAAGACATTCGATAATCACAAGTGAGGACATTCAAAGACGATTACAGAAGGAGAAGTAGGATGACCCGGCGTGGCGTCTATAACAAAAATGTTAGCAATGTGGAACCCACAGTTAGCCACATAGAACAGCTCACAGTGATGAGTAGTGGATTTGCATATCGAGAATATAAAGCTGTTATTTATCCATGTAACAAGATCACTTAAGTAACATTTTATTTTCAAGATAGAGAACGATATGCAAAAATATAAACAGGAAAGGCAAATTTGTTCCACACAACATAATTATGCCTAAATCATCAAACCATTAACTATGTATAGTATAGTATAAATCATAAAAAGAATGAAATGAATATCTTATAAAGTCAAAGATGGTACTTTAACAACTACCTACAATAAAAATAGAAATGTGTCAAGAAAAATTCATTGAATTCAGGTATGAGATAGATCAGAAACACCAACTGTTCTTCTTCTAGTAATAGTAAAACATTGGGGGGTGGGGGTCTCCAAACTCAAAAGGACTAAAAATCTGTAGTTCTAACAGTTAAGGTTAACCATGGTAAGAAAACATCTTCAGATCCTGGCTTCAGACAGAGGTTTCACAGAACCTACCTAACCACAATTAGTGAAGTGTCCTACATTTAGATAATCACACTAACCCTATCTAGTTGAATTAAGCCATGGTTTGGCAAGATATCTGGACTGGGCCTCACTTTAGAAGACAGGAACATAATTCTGCCATTTCCACAAAAATGTACATAATTCCAATAGTGACTTAATAACTGAATTTAGTTCTATGTTTCGAAACAATGAGTATGTTTAGTAAAGTACGTTATGACTTTTTAAATAAAAGGTCCCGTGCAGCACCTCTTACACTTTCACTGAAAACCAAGTTATATTTATTTGAAGTTATCTGAAGTTTACAAACAAAAGGCCCAATCTACAGTTGTATAATAAAAGATTTAATTAAAGTCGAACATCTCTCGGTCACAATGCTCCACTAGAAGGCTGGCTGTGCAATAGTTGTCCCCAACCACCACTGTGTAATTGATCAGACCTACTCATTCCCTGCTTTATTAAATGAGTAAGCCAGTGATTATCCATACTCACCTATCAACCTCCCCTTTACACTTCTGTATTCCTTTATTAAAATGTGAATCCTTAACTGAACATTCAAATTAAAAACTAAATTATGTCAAAGGTTAAGAAATAATCTTGACTATTAATTTGTTATCCTGATTGGATTTCATATTACCCAATAAAGGTATGGAACTGAGCACTAAGGGGAAGGAGTTGTACCACATATCCAACATATATTTTTTCAAAACTGTAGGATTGAATGGAAGCCAGCTTATTCTGTCCTGTTGGGTTGTGGAGGACAATATACAATTCCCACTTTTCACTCAATGATCATTTTGTATGAAAAACAGGGTATTTAATTTGACATATTTAAGTCAAAGTTTTAGTACTATAGTGAATAGTTATTCTATATTTTCATATGACTTTTTGCCTACACTGTCACTCACATAAATGTGCCCCAGCTGGAAAAGTGAGCAAATACATATTTTATTTAGTCTAAAAACAACAAGTTTTGTCCTCATCTCTGATTTGCTGTAAGTATACTGAACTAAAAAGAAAATCCTTCTTATTGCCTGCTGGTGCATCACAAAACTCTTAAAGCAACATGGTGGTTTGCCATTTTTGAAATACAAAACTATACATTCAGACAACACGCAAACAGAGAGAGAAAACAGTTTGCAAACAATGAAGAATGTTCATGTCACACAATGGTGTGCTAAACTTTTTCGTCCATACAAGACTTTCCAATCAGAATAATAAGAAAAGCTGAAGGACAATGCAGAGACTTGACAGAAATGTGGCAACTACATATATAAAAACTGAGGGGGAAACCATGAAGCAGACATATTGCACCCCAAAGATACCACATGTTCGGACTGAGCCTATAATGTTTTCAAGTGTACAGTAGCCAGTTTTATGAGGCTAATTGACTAGTGAGGTTAACCACCAGTGGCCCAAAAAAATAAGTTACAGAGGCTCTGTTTTCAGAAAAAATGACACATCACCTTACAGAATAATTTTGCTTCCATGTTCAAGTCCAGCCTGATGTCTGCACAAACAACTGTTCAGGAGGGTCATACCAGTTAAATCGAGAAATAATGTATTTCTTAGTTTGAGAGTGAAATAATTCACCAGGGAACTGTGGCCATAATCTTTTAACACGCTAGAGATTCTAAGAAAAATGGGTTATAAAGTTTCAGATCTCCCAAATGCAACATATTACAGTTACTGCATTTGCTTGATCAAATGCCAAGCGCTTAGTTTTGTGAGAGACTGTTGTGAAAAATTATAGCCACATGCTAAAATGCAAAAGGCTGATGCTGCAGTGAGCACTTGTGTGTGATAAGTCAGTATTGCTTCTGCGTTATCCAGCTTCGGGTGCTCCTAAATAACCAAGCTAAATTCATTGGAGAACTGCATTTTCAGCAGTTTGTTTATTTTTGCAACAAAACAGAACCCAAATTCATTTTTCCTTCATAAACAGAAGACAGGTATAATCAACATTCATTTGAATACCAGTGGGTCTTTAGAACACACGATACATCTGCAAATGATTCTAATTTAATATTAAAGGAGAAGAGGAAGAAAGGAACCAAGTTACCAGTGAATACAATGTATGATTTTTATTGAGAGCCATTAACAAAAAGGAGGGAGGCTGGGTTCCACAGAGTTACTTCAGGAGTATCTCGGACATAGTGTGCACCAGTTGTGTCTGAGGCCTCCCCCCCTTGAACCCGCCTCTTCCATTCCACTTTTTTGCAAACTCCTTAGAGTAGACTAGTAATGAACCAAGGTATATGAAAGATAACCTGCTCCTAAATAGGGCTGTCCCACACTCCAAAATAATTTTCAGAAACACACATCCTCTTCAAAAGTTAGGTGGCTGTTGGCTGGAGCTAGGCCTCCTATGTTGTAATGTTCCAGTTATCAAACGTGGATGTGGCGCGCACGCGCGCTACACATGCCAGCCGGGAGTACCCCGCTGCGGCTGAATTCACACTTGGCAACCCTATTCAGTAGCACTTCATCTTTGACTTTCGGATGCCAGTTAACAGTGCTATCCTAAACAGAATTAAATCAGTCTAAATCCATAGCGTAGTAAATACATTCAAGGGACCAGAAGAAAGTCTATAAATATGCACCAATACAACTTTTTTACACAGAGACTAGCAAGGGATTTATTTATTTTTTTGCATTTAAACAGTATATTTGCAAGAACTGTATTACTACAATAAAAGTGCTATTATCCGGCCAGCACTCAATGAGGATGGGGTTAACAGTTAATCAAATCTACTAGATACTCAAACTCCACCCTCTCCCAATGTACTGCCCCACCCTAATATCCGGAAAAATCTGCAGCAATCAAAACTCACTGTGTTGGGAATGCCATGATGCTGGCTCCCACATCTGGCAAGGCCCTTTCCCTCAAGCCAGGGACATACCCTACATAGAAGAAAGACAAGTGGTCTAACTGCTCAGGAGCCCTCCCTCAGTGCTGGCTCTCAACAGTTCAAAACTGAATGAGGGGAGAGAGGGCGAGTGAGGATAATGCCAGCTGGTGATAGCAGAGGTCAGAAGGCCAGCAATGGTCAAACACATCAAGCTGGATATGTGGAGAGGCAGCAGTGGGGTGTGGCCATGACTGAGGACACAATGCTATGGTGGGTGACATGGAGGAGCTCATTCTCTAGACGATGCTAGTTAACTGAGCCTTCTGGATAAACAGCTGCTGGATAACAAAACTTTTCTGTATTTATAATCTCTGTAAAATGCTGTGATACTTTACCATATCATACCTCGTAGGTCGTTTTAAGGTAGGGGGTTCAGACTGAAAGAGCAAACTGGTGGGACTTTTTAGCATTTCCTCCATGTCACAAGTCCTGACCCTACAAACTTCTCTGGCTCATACAAATAAATGTCCTAAATGCTTAGCACTAATGAATATAACTAACAATTACTGAAGAAATGCAGAAAAAAATTCCCTTAATATAAATGCGTATCTATAATGCTTGCAAGTTTTGCTCTCATTTTGCAGTTATTAAAGTTTATTAAAATATGAAGTAAAACTTGGTTACAACATGCACAACTTGCCTAAGATTTATAATCAAAAGGCAAGCTATCACGGCATTCAGCACATTAGTAGTTTCTGCATATAACTTACTGGCAATATTTTCTTTAGCCCACAGCGCAAGAATTCATTTCTCAAGTGTATCCTAAAATCAAGATCTTCAGGAGAAGTGACAAGGGCATTTATGAACTGCATGCAGGCTGCCTGTAATTAGAAATTATGGTAAAAGAAGCTTATTAGAATCAGCGTTCTCAATGCACAGAAGCAATAAACATTGCAAAAAAATCCTTATTAAACAAGAAAATACACAATTTAACTAAATCATTATTTTACAGAAGGCAGTAAGGTACTTAACCACCGTCTATATCACCATTAACATAGTCCCCACTTAGTCCAACCTCTATGTAGCAAGAGGATTAAATGAGGAATATTTGCTGCTGCTACTGGGGATAGTGCTGCTAACCAGGGGGGTGCACACACAAACAAAATGGTGTTTTGGGGTTCAGGTATATTGAACCAATTTTTTTTTTATATTTCCCAATGTTCCTGAATCCCAATATTGGTATGGTATTGGAATTTGGGAAATATTCAGAACTGCTGATTTTTTTCAGTTCCTTATCCCCTATGGGGACCATTATAGTCAATGAGCCCCATAGGTGATAATGGAAAATTGATTCAGGAGTATCTGGGGCTTTGGGGAAGCTGATTTTTGAGACAGATGCACCAAATTTGCAGCATAGCTGCTGGTACCTCTCCTCAACCCACCCACACGTGTTTCAAAAAAATTGGACCGGGGGTCAAATTCTATGGGCCCCAGAAGAACATGGCCCCATCCTCCATTGTTTCCAATGGAGGGGGGAGGTGTTTATAGGGACACAGTCCCTTTAAATGCCTTCTCCAAGCCACAGAACAGCAAGTAAACCCCAAAGCATTTAAAGGGATCAAAGTCCCTTTAAATGCCTGAGAGTTCACTCCAATGCTCTGTTACTGTGGCTATCTTGCAGCCACAAAAAATCCCGAATATTTTTGGGATTTTTTGGGGCGGCCATTTTTAGAGAGCTGAATCACTAGCCTCCTTGGTGATTGGCTGAGAAAATACCCATTAGGTATTTATTGGCTATTTTTTCGGATCGGTTTATACCAAGTGCATTTGTTGTTGTTAAGTCGCACAGTCGAGTCCGACTCTTCGCGACCCCATCGGCCAGCTCCCGCTAGGCATACCAACCAAGTGCATACTAACCAAAACAAGTGCTAGAAAGAAACAAGTTTAGTTAAAAGGATTAACAACACATCACATTTGACACATGTCACTAGTCAATAATTTCTGATGGAAGGGATGCACGAGCATCAAATAAAGATATATCTTTGCAACCGCCACTTCCTCACCATTTAAGTTTTAATAATGATGTAAGTCATATGAAATTAGGACATGCCTAAAGAGTGCAATGAGAATGGGTTGCCACAAGCTAAAGTAAAGTCTTTCAATACTGTACACATCTGTGACATTGTGGTTGTGTTGGCCTGAATTATCCTTGTTATGTTACAACCCTAACATGACTGTTTTTGCCAGAAGTAGTTCTGGCTTAAGCATTTGTATTAATACGGGTAAAGAGAACTTGGGTTTTTGTTGGTCAGGAACAAGTTAATGAGTCTTGCATCTGTACATTCATTCAAGAAGCCTGGATTAGAGAGATCACAAAAACTGCAAAGGTTTTAAAGGAGAGATTTTCTATGACACCAATATACAACTGAGTTTACCACATAAGCTAGGTAATGCCCTTGAGATTTAGATGCATCTCATCCTTTTTGTGCTTCTGTATTGGAAGTAAAATATTATTCGGCTATTATTTCGTTTTTACTTCCATTCGGTTCTTGGCCTTTTCCTGGGATCACTGTCCCTTCTCTGTGCATGTGAACGGCGACTCATTAACACAGGAAGCCCTGCTCAGCAGCAATCAGGAGCCATGCAGGGTCTTCCACTGCCCATTGTCCATTTTAAGATTACAGCAGTTATGTTCTGCTCAGGATGTGAACTGCTCTGCTCGGGGGGGGGGGGAGATTAAAGGGAACATTGCCTGGGATACCACAGTACAAGTGTTAAAGGACCAGATGCCTGAGCAATTTGCTGGTGAAGAACCACACTTTAAAATTTGGGAAATTATACTACTCCAACAATAAAGTATAGATAGTGGCAGTCACATTAAGCATTCTAACACCTGGTGGGAGTTGTATGATTTCCAAAGGAGCACAACCCTAAAGCAGCATGGGTCTCTTATTTATGAATTATCTAGTGTTTCTAGAATAATACAGGAAACATGTTCCTGTATTCTCCAAATACAATTAGAAATTACACAATTTAGCCCAAGATTTGTACACAAATATATCATCTGGGGGTTCTGACAAAACTATGTTACCTTTCTTTTTTGCCCAGCAGGACACATAGCATTGTGAGGGAAGGGTGAAGAGAGGGTAAAGAGAGGCACAATTTAGTTAGGGAAAATATGAGACAGAGGGAAGGATCATATGCTCTTTCCCCAGCATCATCACTCCAATCCAGTTCAGACTGACCTATGGCTGCTTTCAGGTACTGGGAGATCCAATAATGGATTTCTCATGTAATGTGTAGTTTCGACCTTAGTTCAAGTCGCCAAATATTAGTCTAAGCAGGTACCTAGGATACCATTTTACTGTATTTACTTCTCAGGGAATTTCTTAAATTTGTTTTTGATCTTCCCATGACATTTTCATTCATCACTTCTATTTACCTAGAGATTTTAGCATCAGGTTGTAATAAAAGTAAGTTTTGTTTCAGATCCTCACTGTCTATAGAAAACAGACCTGGCAATTACACTGTTCATAACACTGCTTGCATTCATCATAGAAAAGGGATGTCACTGCAGTATAACCTTGACCTTTTAAGGAACATAATCTTTTCTTCTGGCTCTTCTACAGCTCAAAGTTTTCATATTGTCATGTCAAGATTACAGAAATGATTCCTGTCTTATGGCCTTAACCTTACAGGGCAGAAGTCATGAACTCAATCATTATCTCATTCACAAGGTGGTATTCCAAAATGCTTTGATCCCTGTCATGATTCAGAGTGAATACACATTATGGGGAAGGGGCCTCACAGAGCAGATAGAGTAACTAACTATCAGAGGATTCTTGTTTGCACTCTATTAGGCTCCAAAAGCAGGTTACTCAGCGAAAAAGAAAAGAAACTTCTGGCACAACAACAAAACCTTAAAGAAACCTATACCACAGAAAAAGAAAATAACAACACCTTTTTTTAATGTACTTTAGCAGATGCAATTTGCATCACGCAGATCCAGGGGTCATGATCCACACAAAATTTGTGCGGGAGTGCCATATACATATTTGTGTACCAGTACAGCTTTACAGATACAATAAAGATTTAAGTGAAAGCTGATTCACATGTTGTAAGATTACTGCACTGAAATAATCTCCACTGAGGGGGGAAAATGTATTCCTAAGTACATTGTCATGTGGGGAGAATATGAGAGGATTTATTTTTCCCCATGAATAAGGGTACCACAAATCCAGTAAAACTATTTTCATGCGAAACAGCGGCCATGTTTCAGTAAGTAGTAAAATTCTAGACATTTCAATAGCCTATGTAAGTTCCTAAGAATTACTGGTCACTGAAGGTCAAATTCTTCCCCAAATTTCTAACAGTATTGATAGGGCTGGAAAAAATGGCCCTAAGAAGATCTGCATGAATATTATTTTCAAATAAAGCAACACAGATGGATCTCCAGGATGCTATACTGTTCTGCAGAAAAGAATCCTGGAGCACTAGTCCTTTAGCATGTTCTGCTGCTTAACACACACACACACAGACCGCTCTACTATTATCACCAAATCATTTTCTGCAGTTACTTATTACACAACATAAAGAGTATCATGAATTAAAAATCAAAAGAGCCATCATTTCAAGTTGAAAACCTGAAGAACCTCACCTGTAACTGCAAAGCTTCATGATTTTCAAGCCCCTCCACAATGTTAGAGAAACGTTCTCCATTGTTCCTCTCTGCTGCAATTGTTATGGCTCCTAAAATTTTATCCAGGCTGAAACGGAAATTCTGAATGTTATATACATAAGGTTCAGAATCTATGAGATGATTCAAAGTTGCAACTTCCTTTCTTAAAAACATTTTTGTGTCTCTCTTCGGGGGGGGGGAGAATTTACTAACTGCCAGCTCTAAGCACTTGGGGGGGGGGTGTTGCACCAAGAAGTATAATTTTGTCCTTCTCTGTTTGATATTGCGCATGTTCAGAGGCAGACAACTATTTTACAAAGGTTGAGAGCAAGGATGCAAACAGGTGCAAAAAATGCAGCACAGATTGTAAGTATATATTCAGCAGGCCAATTATATAAGTAACTCCAGTGTTATGACTCAGGACTGCTTCTTCTGCTTCATATCTCCCTGCGCACAACTCCTTTTCGGAGTTCACCTTCCCCAACAAACTTCTGTCATGGGATCCAATTTATGCCTATCCTATGACAATTCTGTTCATTTTCCACCCTTTCTTTCTTTGCACTGAGACAATGACACTCTCCTCAATGTAACACAAACCACAATTCACAATAAAACAAGAAAAGGAATGGGAGATGATAAACCATCACAGAAAGGCACCTGAAGTCTCTCTAGCAATGAAATGCAGTGGGCAGAAAAAGGAGATGGAATACATCCAGATGGAAAATTAATTCACTTCTGTTTGTTCTTCAGGCAGACCAGCTCATCATCTAAGAAAACTTTCTGCCATATTACTTACATATTTTCCTCTCCAATGATACAAATGGCAGAAAGTATTTTTACAGTTTCAGTCATCATATTTGGTTGCTTTGGATCGATTGCTCTGGCTAATAGCAAAAGACTTCTTTCATCTCCTAGAATTCTTTGCAGTCCATACTTTAAAACAAACAAACAAACAAATATGGTTAACTTGCCATGGGACACTTCCCATGAGAGTGTTCAAGACTGTAGACAGTGCATTTCAGTATGCCAGTCTTAAATCATTACTGTTTTTAAAACAAAAGAAGTAACAAGTCTTTGACATGAGCTAGTTTTAGACATGTTAAATTTTCAAAATGATTTAGTGGCTTCACAAATATGTACTAAAAACATCTTTTGGGCTATACTCAAATCAAATGATTCATCTGTGCAACAACAACATTATTTTCTGTTACCAAACAGGAGACCTTTTCAAAATGACTAACATACTGAAAAAGTCAGTGATAGTAATTAAAATCTTTCATCTGTGGCACTTGAACAAATCTATTCCCCATGTTTTAGGTCTTGCAAATAAAATTTTGAACCACAACAAGGGAAGACAAAAATAATTAAAATGAATATTTGAGAAACATACAACACACAACTTGAATTTTTCCACTGTATTATATAATAGTCATTCCTCAGCCTTACTACCCACATCATGTTAAGTAGTTTTCAGTGTAATCCCAAGCACTCTGACTTCAAGGGACTTAGAAGCATTTAATTCCATTTAGGATTGCATTGTTTATACAAGATACAATAGGATTCACAGTTATTTATCTGATATTCTGCTTTGACATCAATTGTATCAAGAAAATATAAGGTTTCTGTGAATGCTGCAGGAAAGTATGCAACATGTATTTTATATATTAATCAGCTATTTTAAAAATTTATTATTCAGTCTACTATTCTTCAACAGATTCAGGTGAACTGCTTTGCTGTTAAATAGTCAGAGAGGACACATCTCCCTGGCATCTAGAGAAGGAAAAGCCAAGGGGGTGCCTACAGCCTCAGGTGGAATGGCTGCCTATTAAAAGGGGGTTGGGATTCTAGTTTCTCCTTTGTCCCATCCTTCTCCCTATTTTCAAAGCAAATTTACTGTGTATTGGTAGGACAGGGAAAAGGGGAGGGATGAGCCAGGAAGACATTCCTCTGTTCTGGGGATGGGGGGACGACCCCCCCCCTCAAAACATGATGGAAAATGCTGAATTTATAAGAGCATATTCCTTTCCCTCAAACCCCTGCAACAACAGAGAGCTTGCACATGCACACTGCCCACATGCTGTCCACAAACAATGGCAACACAGACAGCAGGAATAAGGCCGGAGGCAACTAGCACTAACAGTTAGGCATAAGAGAAACAAACCATGTGCCAACTGCTACCCTCTATCAAGGACCTGGGAGTAGAGAAGGAGTTGGTCTTCTGGGAGGTATCTCCCTCACAGCTTAAAGGACTCAGTTCATTGTGTTGCCTCAGCCAACAGGATCCCACAGGTTCCTCTGGCTTGTTGGCTGAACAGAGGCAAATGGACTTTCTGGCAGCCATTTCACAAGATATATGCTTAACAGGCCTTTTTGCCCACTGACTATATGAAGGCAAGTCAACTCACCATAGCCCCTGAGCTCAAGCTGGTTCCACAGAGGCCAATCAACTCACCAGCTCAAGCAAAGGGACTGTACAAGTTGTCTCAGACCCAATTCCATTGAGCTGGGCAATATGTGGGAAAAGGATGGTTTTTGTTACATTGCCCCTCCCATTTTTGTACATATCTATATTCACTTATTTTCTTGAATTATCTTATCCATTTTCTTCAATTAAGTCTCTTGGGTGTTTTAACACCTTATAGCTTTTAGTATATTTGTATTAAATCTAGAAGCCTGAAGATTTAAAGAAAAGTTATTTTTAGCTTTTTTATATTACTTGTATTTTAGCTTACTTGTGTTAAATATAGAAGCCTGAAGACATAAGACCTTTATTTATCTTTGATATTTTAGACAACACACAGCATTTTTATATCACATACACAGGCCTAGATCCACCACAGCATTATCAAAGACAGAAAATCATTTGATCTGCAACAATGCTTCTGTGGATCGGAGCCATACATCATGGGAGTTAAGTTCATCAGAACCTCTGTTTGCTGGGTGCGTCTTCAGAACTCAAGCTCAAATTCCATTATGCCTGGTTTCTGTTCTAGTTGCAAAAGTAATTCCAGTTAAATTGGGTTACAGACCTATTATTCTAAAATTTCCTATTTCTAACAACACTGCCATGACCTGGATAGCCTAGGCTAGCCCAATCTCGTCAAGATCTTGAAAGCTAAGCAGGGTCGGTCTTGGCTAGTATTTGGATAGGCGACTTCCATGGAATATCATAGTCATGACGCAGAGGTAGGCAATGGCAAACCACTTCTCTTGCCTTTAAAACAAGTCTAGCTCACCACCTAGTGGTTCATAACACTAATCAGCTAGAATTAATGGCTGCCAGACAATATTAGGATCTCCTGGCTATACTACAAACAATGCCATACAATAATTACTATTATTACTATCAACACTTCAAACAAGAACCTCAGTCTACAACCAACTTTGGTTGTACACTGACACACCCCATTTGAAATTTGAGTTTTAAACAGATAAATTTGCTTACCAAATGCAGATATGAAAAAGAAGTTAAGCAGAATGATACTGTTGTTGTTGAGCTTTTGTTGAACACAAAGACTACCCAATATTTTTTATAACCAACTACTTCCAATTTTGTTTTTAAATGTTCCCTTCTTTGTAGGCAGAAAATAGTCTTCAGTAAGAGACTATAACCTTTTTCATACCCTGTAGAATACTGGAAACTCAGAACATACAAAATAATTCTCCAAACTTTTATACTTTTCTAAATCAATTAAGTGACCCCCAAACTAATTGACCATTATTTTTAATTTTTCTCTTCCAACAGAAGCAATAAACTACACAGGATAGGCTAAGTACATCTAATTTCCATTTCCTTATTGCAGTGATTTCTTTAAGACATAGTCAGTCATGACTAGATAGACTGAGCTCGGCCAAAGTAAAAACCAGAAGGAACTGAAAGTCTTACCTTATTATTCATAAATGCTTTGAGGCACTGTATAAGTTTATACTGATTCTTCTTGTCAATAGTTTCTTGCCTTTAAGGGGGAAACAGATGTTAAACAAAGGCATTTTATCAAATGTTATACTTTCTCCCCTCCCCTTCTTTGTAATTTCTGTACTTACTGTCTCTTGTCCAGGAGCTTCTCAAGAACATCCAGCAGAAGCCCAAGCCCTTCATGTCCAAAATTGTTAACCCAGCTGTGAAAAAATAAAATGCATATTAAATGTATATTTACTCTTGTTCATAAATATTTGCATAACCAGATTCAATACCCCAACAAGGCTTTCCTGTCAATGTGGAACTGCTACCACTTCTGAAAGTTATCTGGAACAGAGAATATATAAAATTTTTGTGTATGCAAATAAAACTCTTGATCAGGGCTAAATATCAAATGCTGAAATTGTAACTCAGGAATCAAAATGTGAAATATATATTTATATATATTCATTATGGTACCATCTATGCCCCAAGCCTGTGGACAGGGTCATCACGATGTGGGCACTTTGATAAAGAGGATGAGACTTTAGGAGATCGCCATCTTGCTATTAGGAAGTGAGCACCGATTACTGCTTTGTATATATGATGTTTTAATATTTGATACTATGTATTATTTAATATTAATATTTTAATGTTTTATGGATGTACTATATCGGCAGTGTGCCTTGTAAGCCGCCCTGAGCCTACGGGGAGGGCGGGATAAAAATCGAAATAATAAATAAATAAAAATAAATAAATAAATTTACTTGGACATATATATATAGGCTGCATCTAGACATGCAACAAGAAGGAACCAAAGTTCTGGGGATCATCTCCTCTCCCTCACCCTGTACAGCACTGAAAATGCAAGACAGGATTTCCTCAATAAACTGCTATTTGCCTTGTACACCAGGCACTACAAGACACAGTTTAATACTGGTTTAGGATTCTGATCTGTAAACAAAGAAACTAACAACAGTTCATTTAAGTGCCTGGCTTGGATGTTTTCGGAAGACTTGTTTGAAATTTTGGTGCTGCACATAAAGGGAGGAGGGAAGGAGACGACCTGAGCCCAAGGACTTCGGCTTATGTTAGGCACAAACCAAACCAAGCATGCCACACAGTTCCAACACAGTAGCCGCAGAGATTACTCTCCAGTATCTCTATAATCGAAGAGCTTCATCAACTGTGATCAAGGTAAAGACAACTCAAAAGGAGCCAAAATGATGATTCTTGTGAACAGAATAGAAAGAAATTTGCCATGCACTGTGTCATGTTAATATCACTTGATTATAGGAATTATCATGCAGAAAGCAAAAACACATGCAATGCAACCGCTAACAGTTCTATATGGAAATCATCTTCTTCCACACCATTTTCCCCTTCCAAGTGATAATATTCAACACACACAACCAAATAAGTAGAACACAGTCATGCTCATGAGTATCAATTTCACTTCAGACAACTTATTAAATAGGTCATTAGGGAAATGAAGGAAAATATAAATATAGATTAGCTGAAAACAACCTCGGGTGAATTTCCTGCACCTTTTTTTTGGCAGAAGTGTGTCTATAACTTTTTCCTTGTAGGACATTATCACCTCCACATTAGTAAACAATGTCAGCAAAGTACAGCCATAAATATAGTCTTTCCGTTAAAAAAGAATCACCTGGGGTACAAAACAACTCCCCAAATCTACTGTTGTTGGGGGGGTTGTTTGTTTCTTGTTTTCGTGTTTTACTTCTGGGGTGCTTTTTCTTTCTTCTTCTTCTTTTTTTTAACCCCAGTCCATACAATTTATTGAAATACAAAATTATCTCATGGGTTTTTTGTCAAAAAGTATTGATTAAGGGAAACATTTTTTAAGTGCTCTAGAGAGCTATGGACTCTTCAACACAAGCCAAGGAATGCTTTCTGATAACCTAGAAAACATTTGCCTCACCACAGATAGCTACATCTTGAGATAGAGAATTACACAATGTTATGAATTATCAATTTTAGGGGCTGTCTTTTAAAATGTATGGAACTTCGTTTTCCAATACCTTCGTTTCAAAACAAGGCTTTATAAAAGAATGGTACTGCACCAGTGTTATTATGCAAAGGGTGGATCTACCTGAAAGAAACATTCTGCCTTATGTGAAAGGGTGTCTTTAGGCTCTGGGTGTTTAGATACAATGATGACTTTTGCCAGTACAAATGTTTTTGTGGGAACTTTTCTACCCCAAGATATAATGGAATGTGACTTGGGGTACAGATATACCCCATGGTAATTTTCTGTAAAGGTTTTGTTATGAGAAGGGGCAGTCTTTATTTATTTATTTATTAAATAGGAAACTATGTACTAAATCAGCATTCTATTTCTTGTTCAATATAGAATCACAAGGAGTTGGAAAAGACCTTAGCAACAGTTAGTACAATCATAAAAGACTACCATCTCCTCATGGCTCTCTCTTATCTGTATCTAGAAGACTACAGCTGACACAAGAAGCAGGTCAATTAAATGAAAAGTACCACAATCTCAAACATTCTTATTGTGCTTTAAGTACAATAACTAAGTTTTAAACTAATATACACAGAGGCCATGTACAATATGCAAATCAGTCTCTCTCTCTCCTCTCATTCACTCTCTCGCACACACACTAACACAAATCCATTGACCAAAAGGGGAATATATCAATGCTGATGGGGAAGAGTCAACAATAGAACATGATAATTAGTACTGATATACCACTATTGAAAAGTGAAAGAATTCAGGCTGAGTCAAAAATAGCAATAAGCAACAGAGATGGGAGAAACTGCATGATGTTGGTGCCAAGAAAAGGAAAGAAATACGGACTAGTGTACTGCTTGGCATCTAGCTATATTCAAGAGTAATTCTATGGAAGAAACACAGATTGATGAAGCAGGGTTCCCTTCTGATTCTGCAAGGTGAACTGTCAGCAAGTCCCACTGTTACAACTATTGTTCCCTCCATATATTGACTCGCATATATGGACTGGCAACTGGAGGCTGCATGGTACTTCTCAAGGGTTGCTGCTCCTTACAGTATATGCTGTTCATGGACAGAGGAAAAAATGCTGTATTTTGCATTCCACTGCTTTCCAACACTGAAGGTCTTCTGATTTCATTCCATTGGTAACAAATAAAAAGGCAGGGGTTTTTTCCCCCCCTTCTTTTGTTCTGTGATTTCTCAACCACATATTTCCAAATAAGGAATACTGATTATCCATCAAATTAAATTTTAATCACGTACCATCACCTGAGACACCAATTTATTTTTATTTTATTATGACTGCATTGTCTATAGCCTCACTACAGTTCTATACAATCTTTTGAGATTTGTAAGTACATCATTAAGTCACTGTAAAGTACAGAAGTAGAACATGGTTGCACTTACCTGTAACTGTTGTTCGTCATGTTGACTTCTGTGCAGGCACACATTGCATGCTCAGGCCTGCCATCAGAAAGAACTTTCTAGTTTCTGTAGACTGGAAAGGCACATACCCCCTCTTGGCGCAAGTGGTCACGTTTTCTTGCTAAAACCAAGAGGGAAAAGAGCCATTTCCCCCTCAGTCCTCCTAAATTGCCAGAACCCCCCAAAGACCTTTAATGTCCGAGAGCTCAAAGCAGGGCAGGAGGAAGAGAATGTGTGCTTGCACAGAAGATAACTCAATGAAAAACACTTAGAAGTGCAACCCTGTTTTTGGCTTTAGTCTTCTGTGTAGTTCTACATTGGGAGAGAGTAACAAGCTATGCACCAGGAAGTGGGTATGAGTCTCTCAATCAAAGCAAGAATGTAGAATAGCTTTCCCAACAGCTGATTCTTGTCTGGCATATGTGTTCACAGCATAGTGGCATATGAAGGTGTCCACAGAAGAACACGCCACAGCCTTGCAGACATCTAATAGAGGGACACCATGAAGAAAGGTAGCTAGAAAAGTCTGAGTCCTGGTGGAATGTGCTCAAACTAACAGTGCACAAGAAACAACAGTTCACTATACATAGGGCTACCCTTGAAAACACTTTGGAAACTGCAGGTGGTCCAGAATGCAGTTGCCAAGTTGCCGACTGGAACATCATGGTCAACTCATATTACTCCAATTCTGTGGCAGCCGCACTGTGGCCAGTTCAGGGTGTTGGTGTTAACCTTTAAAGCCCTTAATGGTCTGGGACCCTCATACCTACTGGACTACCTCTCTCATTACAACTCCCGCACTCCCTTCAGGCACCATCTAGGGGCCTCTTACAGGTGCCTGGCTCCAGGATGGCTTGGTTAGCTGCCACCAGGGGAAGGGCCTTCTCAGTTGTGGCCCGAATGCACTCTCGGATTACACCTCTGCACTGATGGATTTATTTATTTTCTGCAGGGCATGGAAAGCTGAATTGGTTAGGTTGGTCTTTGGAAAGTAACCACATGTTAGCCTTTTGGAATAGTGGTATGGTGATAGCCATGTATTTTAATACTAATATTTTATATGTGCTATTTGTTTGATGTTGTTTTTACCTTATTGCTTTTAATGTTGTAAGTTGCCACAAGACCCTTCAAGTGAGAGGTGACTAAAAAAATCTAATAAAATAAATAAATAAAAGTTTAACTATCTGAACAATCTAGTGAGACAACGTTTGTGATGCTGCTGCTAGCAAAACAAACAAGCAAGCTGTGGCCTTGCCAAAAAAAGCCATGTCTTCTGTAAACAGAACAATAAAACCCTTTCAACATCTAAAGTGTGTACAGCTCATTCTGTTGAGGATGAAGGATTAGGAAAAATATCAATAGTGTGACAAGCTGAACTAGGTGAAACTTAGAAATGAACTCAGGCAGGAAGTCAAAACTAGGTCATAATTCTTATTGGGAAGAAACTGAATAAAGGGATGGGCATCCCTAAGAGCTGCCTCTTCCCCAACTCCCCTAGCAGATGTAATTGTCAGTAAGAAGCAGACCTTCAGTGAAAGAAAGAAAATAGGGCACATCGCCAAGGGTTCAAAAGGTGATAAAATGAGCTGTGACAACAGCAAAGAGATGGAAAATTGTATTAACAATAGGAGCCCTTGGAGAATCAAGGTTGTAAAGGCCCTTCAAAAATGTCTGGAAGTGCAGTGAGAAAAAACTGCAGAACCATCTATGAAATCATGAAAGGCAGCAATTGCAGCTAAATGCACTTTCACAGATGAGGGACCTAATCCAGTCTCCTTCAGAGAAAGGAGATAATCTAGAATCGGG